TTAATGTGAGAATTATAAATTTCTGCACTAAAAAAGATGTACTTACCGGCAATAAACACGGCTTTCAGAAAAAGAAGTCAAGTGAAATGGCACTTTTGTATCAAACAAATATTTCAAAATTTTGAAGCCAAAAAGCATACTCTAGAGGTATTTCTTGACTTTAAAAAAGCGTTTGACTCTATTAAGCATGATATCTTATTAAAAGGTAAAGCGAATATGGCGTTAGGGGACTTGTTCTCGACCTTACACGTAGTTATTTGACAAACCGCTACAAGTACACAGACACCAATCATTCAAAATCACTTCTGGGGGAAACTTAATACGGTGATCCTCAGAGTTACATCCTTGGAAGTGTGGCAGCTAGGGCCAGTTGGTATGGCATGACGATAGTTATAGCGCGAGAACAAAATGACGACACAGATGTCCTTCTTGTCTCTGTGTCGTCTTTTTGTTCTCGCGCTATAACTATCGTCATTACATCCTTGGACCACTCCTTTTCTCATTATATATAAATGATATAGTGAATATTGCGTTGACACCTGATATGTTTCTTTACGCCGACGACACGAATGTATTTTTTCTGGAGAGCGTCTACATATACTTCAATCGCAGGCTAGTAAATCGCTCAATGACTTGGCTGAGTGGCAAAACGTAAATAATATTTAGCCTAAAATATTGAACTACCAAAAAAACTAAATATATAATTTTTCGCTGTGAAATAAGACTATCGGAAATGACGTACATTTGAAATTTCGTGGCGAGAACATCGAGCGTGTAATAATACATAAATTTCTCGGTGTCCTCTTCGAAGAAAACCTCAGCTGGTCTCCTCATGTCGATAACTTCACAAGACGCATCTCACGTTCAATAGGTATTATAAATAGAACAAAGCAACTTTTGCCGCGGTGGTTAAAACTTCAGCTATATTACGCACTAATTGATTCCCATTTACAATACTGCCTCCTTGTGTGGGGAACAAGAACAAAAATAATCTTAGAAAGCTGCGTGTTCTACAAAAACGTATTTTGCGAGTTATTGAAAATGTGCCATATCTAACACACTCCGCTCCACTCTTTAAAGCAAATACCATATTAACAATGTAACACATACTGGAAAACAAGCTAGGCATCGCAATATTCCAGAAAATAAAGTCATGTCAGGACCACTTTTATCGACAATTCCTGGGGAAGGGACACACTTTCGAAACTAGAAAAACTGTATAGGCCAAGGGTTTCATACGAACACACTATAGCATGCAAAAATAATCTTACGCTATAATAGGTTTCTTAAATCATCATCCTACCGTTATAAGCTTGGTACAGAAAACTATTCACATGAAATGCTTCAAAAAAAAGTTAAGTTCATACCTCATTTCAATACAAGAATAATTTCGTTTTTATCTTGCTGCAGTCTATACTGTACATATACTTAGAAAATCTCTCTGTTTTAAGTGTATATAGGACAATGTATATATCTATAGAATCCTGTATATGTTTTGCCTACAAATGTATAGTATATGTAATCTTTGTATGTATTTTCTAGACTCACATAACTCAAACTAATGTTTAAGTTATGTGTGTCTAGAAGGGAATGTGACACTAAGTCAGGCACTGGTGCCTTTTTGTCACACCTCCTAGACAGGACAAATGTACACTATATTTGTCTTTGTCTGAAAAAAAGTTGAAAGCTGAAAGTTGAAAATGGAAAAAATAAAGATCAGAAGCTCAGCCAGAACATATACCCATGACATTTCGGTTACTTTAAAGCTATTTGCGAATGACTGCATTCTTTAACGGGAAATACGTAGTGCAGACGACCAGATTCTTTTAAACGCAGCGTTAATTAAAATATTTTGGTGATAAGTGTGGGAAATGAAGGTTAACGAAAAAAACGGTAGCTATGACCGTAACACGTAAACGGCGTTCTTTGCAAAACTCATGTTTCATACATGGTCAAAAACTATCGTTCGTTAACACTTACAACTATTGAGGGTTTGTATTAAGTGCAGATTTTAAGTGGAATGATCATATTGCCTACATTGAAAAAAAAATGCCTTACAGAATGTAGGATTTCTTAGACGTGCTTTGCGCAAATCTACCCCAAAATTAAATAGATGCGTATAAAATTTTTATCCGCCCGATCCTTGAGTACTCATCTCGGGTTTGGGATCATCACAGCCAAGCAAATATCAAAACCCTCGAAATAAATCAAAGAAAAGCAATCCTATTTGTTTATAATCGTTACAGCTCTTACGTCAGCCAGTGAACTGCTGAAGAGAGCTGGCCTGGATACATGGCAGGTAAGACAGCAACACAATCGATTGGAGTACAATCGATTGGAGTACAAGCTCCGAATAAACAAGGATGCGTATATAGATACTGTTCACCGCCGATCCACTCGTTCCGAGCATCCAAAAAAAAACTGAAGGAGCATTATTGTAAAACAACAGCCTTTAAAGAATCTTGTTTTTTTTTTTTTCGCGCATTGTCGCTAACTGGAATGCTCTGCCTGGGGATCTGATAAACTGCGAAAATATTCAGTCTTTCATGGAAAAGTTTAGACACCGGCATCTCACATGACTTTCATCTTCTTTTCAGCTTGCCCTGCATTATTTCTTGAGATATTATCATGGTATGCTTGTGCGGCTGTGTATTCTGACTCATTGCTGATTCTCTGCACTGTCATATGGCGATTCCCTTTTTTTTTCATTTTTTTATGAGCAGATGCTTGTCGTTATTGCTGTTGTGTTGCTTTCTTGCTTTTCTTTTTTCCTGCGCCTGCACGCGAAAATCCCTATTATTGTGTAAGTATTGGCGTTTCACTTTTTCTCCATGTTGTAGCTACGCGTGGTGTGTTTTCTTTTTGTTGCATTTCTATACGCTACCTTACTTGTATTGCCCACCCCGGCCTAGGCCTCATGCGAGAGTCTGGCAGTATTTATGAAATAAATCAATAAATAAAACTTTGAGGCTACAATAAAAAACGCCAGACCTGCGCGTAAGGCGCAGCACAGTCACAGCGAAAGCTTGAAAACTGGCCTTTCAGATCATTTTCTAAACTCTCACTGGGTAGCTACTGCAAGCACACTTGCTTGATCCTACGGCATTATTAATAAAATTTTTTGGGAGTAGGCCGGCATTTGATATGCTGTTTTTCGTCATTCTCCCAAGAAATGTGGCACCCGCTAAACAAGAGCAAAAAATTTTGTGCCGATTGTTCATGCAATGGCTGACGACGATGAGGAATTATGCCTGAAGTGCGTATGCGCCACAGTTGAAGTGTGCACAAGAACAAGCTTTTGTAATGGGTTGTAGCATTGAAGACCCACTCGTTACACTGTTTGATGACTGCTTGTTCTTTCGCTCATTTAAAACGCTTTATAAGTCGTATTAACACGATTGCTTTCCCGATATCACGCCTGCCTAAGGCAAGTTTGCAAACAAGTCCCAACGACCGGCGTAACTCAGGGGTAGAATGCTGGGCTGGCACCCAGTGGACCATGGTTCGAACCCCACTGAGTCATTGGTACTAGGTTACTTTTCTAGGAGCGAAGCTCCTTATAGCGGCACGCGTTCGTCCCTTATAGTCATTGTAGTAGTGTGTAACCAGTCTTACATTTTGACCTCCAAGGTGGTGCCGGTGGGAGATTTTTTCTGTGCGTTGTTAAACAATAAAAATTCACAGCGTGTGCGTTAACTAAAAGCCTAATTCTCCTGTCTCTCTTTCCCCCTTAGCAGCCATTGGCATGTACATTGAGCACTATTTGACAAGAAAGGGTTGCTACGTTATACTCACTGGGCGTAACCTCCTTGGTTTTAGAAAGGCTCAGTGAACGTTGGGCCGCAGTGCCATGTATACAGTGAATTAGTATATACGATGAACTCGAGGTGGTTAAAGGTGGGAAGTAGGCACGAAGCGCAAGCCGTAAGAAAGTTTGCGTGTGCTACCTCCCGTTTAGTCCTTGGGATGTCCGTTGGATGGCGGTGCTTCTATACAGGGAATATATGATGAAAAGATGCAAGATGGTGGTACTTGGAGTGTTCAATAGGTGGATGGACGCACGGGTGGCTGCACGGACGGATGAACGCATAGACGGACGCAGGAGCGGATACATGGACGAACGCAGGGACGGACGCACAGATGGACGTGCGGATGCACGAACAGACGCAGGAGCGGATGCATGGACGAACGCAGGGACGGACGCACAGATGGACGTGCGAATGCACAAACGAATGGACGGACGGATGCTTCGCCCCACTCTCCATCATTCACTCCGTGGATATGCTGCCAATTTTTTTTTAATTTTGCGCGACGTGGTTGCGGACACCGGCGGCATTGGCGGACAACTACGGCACTGTAAGAGACCCGAGTTGTGATCACATAACAGCTTTCGCTGTAATACGGTGTTTTGTGACTAGTTCTGGGAGGAGCGACAACCACTGCTATTCGCTAGTGCAGTTTCGTGAGTTTTTCAAGGAAACTAATAATCAGTGCATTGATGTTCTTCGTTTTCTCCGTGTGCCTATGTTGGGTATCATCGAGTGGGCATTTCTGAAATGGAGAGGAGCACGTAAGTTCAAAACCGTGAGACTCGAAATTGTCCAGAAGTAGCGCGAAACGAAGATTTCAGACGAGCAGTCAAGAAACAAGAAAGAGCGTCAAACAAATATGTGTGTCAGAACTGAAATCGGAAGGAAAAACGAACGTGTCAACACAAGCCCCCCCCCCCCCCTTCTGATGTGATGCCTGTGGAGAGGGACACGCCACAACAGCGCGCGGGCTCTACAACAAAGCTCTTCAACACACAAAAAAAAAGGAAGAGAGAACGGGTAAGCACTTTGTAATGGCATGTTTGCCCAGCTAGAGGCGTGTTCGGCAGCAGCAGTGGCGATAAGACGCAGAGACGTTCGCTCCGTGAGCTGCTGCCATCCTCGGCGAGACGGAAGGGAGAGGAGGCGGAGAGCCGGTCGTGCCAGGGCCAGTCGTGTCAGTGCTGCTCAGCATGGCGCTGCTCGTGGTGGTGGTGGTGGTGGTGGAGCTCCTGGTGGCAGCCGACGCGGGACGCGCAAAGCCTCGGAACGACGACTTCTCCCTTTGGATCGACGAGAAACAAGTACGGGAATTCAGTGGTGAGATCTCTCGCTTGCCTTCTCCGAACTCGGCTCGTCGCGCCCCAGCCTTCGTACGCCTTCTAATCGCTTCGGCAGAATCCAGCTTTCCGTGAGGCCATTGTGTCTAGCAGTCTCTTTGGGAAAATCTGCGACGATGAAAAGTGCACCTTGAATTAGGTGCTCCAAAGTACAGTAAACAAGCTGCCAGTTACAGCGTGACCATGACAACGCAAGCGTGCGCCTTGTAAACACGGAACATGATAAATTTTTTATCTGCAAACACCGTGGTATCAGGGAACATTAGCGTACGCGAAACTCGGCTATGACTTACTTCGATGATTTGTCATTGACTCTAATTTTGACTGCATTTTGTGTTTTCAGTTTCTATCGAAAAGCCTTGCCTACTTATTATGCATGCTACTTTGAGTATGCCGCGTACTCGCACAAACTTGCTGCAATTTAATCGCTCTTTTTTTACTGTATTCAACATGTATCTGCCAAGAAAAAGCAAGTTCAGCTAGTGGGCATTTAGTTATATTTCAAAATACGAGCACAAAAAAAAAAAACGAATAGATGAGAGGTGTGCCATCTCTTTCATATTGCCCGACGGTTTGCTCGTGCACTGTTTTTATAGAAAGGTGAATGTAACCACTGCAGCACGCTTTTTCTCTATCGAAACCACCGTGCCACAGAACTCCATCTTTCTACTCTAATTTTTTACCGATTTAAATTATTCCTTTTACTAGTTACCAGCCATTCTTTGGTGAGTGTTGTCATCTATCCTGAGATAGCCCTGATGGTTTCCGATTTCAGTATGGGTTTTGGCAGCTTTACTTTCTGGTGTTCTTTCTGGATCAAGAAGTGGAATGCTAACAAGTGCAACATAATAATAACCTACATGACGACTAGTAAACGTTACTTTATTCTCATAAAAATACTTGATTGTTGTCTAACCGCAAAGTGTGCATGAATTCCCCCAAAGACAGCAAGTTTTTATGGAACATTCATGACAATTGTAAAAAATATACCAGCGCCAGGGCGCTATGCAGGATCGGCCGGGATTCGCCCGTGTTTCGCGAAACTCGGTATGCTCCTGAGCTCTGTAGACACGCCCTTATGAACTAGCCAGCAGTGCGGCCGAGATTCGCCCAAGTTTTTCGAAACTCGGGGTCTTCCTGAGCTCTGGCGACACCCGCTTATTAACGAGCCAACAGTGAGAAAAAGTCAAATCCACCCCTCGGCGCGCTGCAGTTCATTATTGGTTACGATACAACCAGTCATCGCGTCAAGGACGGCCGACTGAATCGGGCGGTGTTTTGAAGCCTGACGCATCTTCTTTCATTTGTTCGTCGTTCCACTGAGTGCAGTAAGTGCACCCATGCAATTAAAGAGTCAGAGTTTCCGTAATGACATTTTTTAGAGGCACGGAGTGTTTAAATATATCTTCAAGTTTTAATACCTGCACTAAGTCTGTTTTAAAATAATCAGCATGGTGGCCATTGAGATCAGCACTGGCCAAGCGCCTTCCAACATCGCGACTGCTGCTAGACCCGAGGCCAAGTGTTTAATCATTATGCTCAGCCTGTACACTCTAGCGCGCTGCTCGGCAGTTGCGCGTCGTCTCTGTTGTCATTGCCCGCTAGCACGTGCGGCAGGCTAATTAGCTCCTAAAGCCATGGGTCTGTCTCTCCTAGCTCGTGGTACGTAACCGCCTAATTCGACGACTCACTCAGCAAGTGCGGGCGGACAGACAGACAAGCAGACGGACGGACGGTTTCAAGCATGTTAGTTGATGCGCTAACTAAACGATTATAATTAACGTGACGTTAATCATGAGCACGCTAAGTAAAATCAACGGAGACAAGACGGCTCGGTATATTCGTCGTCAAGCGTCAGCCAATTAGCACATTAAGTTAAGACAAAGTTGATGCAGTCATCCCTTCGAAGCCGACCACGCACATGAGTAGACGATCAACTTCAAAAGCTGCAATCAGCTAGGTTATTACAAGCTCCTCTATGGCTCAGCCTTGCATAAGTAGTGTATGCTCACCAAATTATTTTATATGCAAAGAAGCTGCCGCGTTGCGTTCACGGCATCAAACGCTTCACAGTCACACCAGCACAGTCACGAGTTGAACTCGGGCCTACTCAGAATCAACTAGTTTGTATCCGAGTTCGCCCGTTAATCAGTTTGATTGACAGACGCCCGCGGCGAAGATCGGGTACGCCCACCACATTTACTCTTACCGGGGAGCAGTATTAACGCCGAGTGGCACGATTAATCTACCAGCTTTATTGCGCATACTATGCACACGCGTACGCAGAAGTGATACCACGACGCGGCTACGATGGGTCGCATTCAATTTCAGCGCGCTCACGGCGTATCCAATCACAGACTCGTTGCTGCCTTGATGCGAGTGCCCCTGGTGACCATCTGTTCTTATATTTATCTTCAATACTTGATAGAAGCGATAGGAGCACCACGCTGCGTGTTCACCCTTGCTGCCTTCGAGAGTGGAAATTGCAATGCTGCTGGTGGAATAAAAGAACCTGTCCGAAAAACAACATACGCTCACGAATGCGCTCGTGGGAGTCGCGTGTTGAGTAGGCAAAAAGAAAGCGCGACAATCACGCTGACGTCACAGCACTGTTAAAATGTTGACTGGGTGGCAGCGCTGGCGTGTTCGCACGCGGTGTTTCTTTGATAACCAGCACGCATGTCCCGCATGCGTGTCCAATGGCACGCGCGTTCCTGTAGCCATTTTTATCAACGCTATCACGCGTGTATTCATGCCATGGCCGCCGCAGAGCGAGTTCGGAGTAAACTCGTTTGCCCGAGAAGCTCGAGCCATCCTGCATAGCATCCCCAAATTTCTCACCCATATTTTTTGCTTTTCTACTCTCCTTCAAACAGAATTTCACTTAGTATAAGTAAAACCGAAACTCCGATGTACTTCTGCAAGCATATAGGTGGCCTTTTTGGACTAATGGTGTATTTGGTCGGCCGCTCTCACGGATGAAGAAAAAGGAGAGGGCATGCCAAGCCCGCGCGCTACGTGAAAATGGTGGAGGAAATGACATCATAACGGTTATATTCACTGGTCACAATGGCGACGTTGCTATGGTTACGTGTTTCGCAGTAGAGCTGTTCTAGCAGAGAGCAGCCGCGGCTGGCTGCGGCACGTGTGCCTCCCCAACTCTCGTGCTGAGCCGTGGCGGACAGTATCTGTGCTCTGCGCCACGTTATTCGTGACGCAGTGTTCTCCTTCCAGTTACTGTACTCTTAGCAACGTTTACGAATTTTTTTGTCCATCACGGGGCTTCAACAGTGCGTAGAACGAGTGCATATCCATGTGTCGTGCGGTGGATGACGCGGATGAAGCAACTATAGTGTTCAGCGAAATTGCGTTGGGCACCATGACGAAGCGGAACGACGACGCACGCCTTGCAGTTCAGTGACGGTTGGGCAGTGCTCCTGCTTGTGACAACGAGCGACGCTGTCGAGCCCAGCAAGACGCAATGAGGACCATGTGCACATACGTAGTTTCGTGTTTTGTGTGTACCGTAACAACTTGCATGTGCGTAATAAAACACCTTTTCTGTTCCGCTTCGTAAACTCTCCCCCAGCATTGCATGTAATCTCAACGTAACAGCAACCGCGTTCTGGTGTCATTTGCACCGTGCTTAAAGTCACCACGGTCGCAGAATGCTGACGCCGGTCAGTTTCACGCAAAACACGGACACAGTGGCCGGACGCTGCGTCGGCAGCGAGGCGGATTGCAACCGTAGAAGGCGCATGACCAATCGTGTTGTCTGTACAGTTGCAGAATTCTTGACGTGAAAACACTCGCCGTTTTCAGTGCATCTAGCACGCGTTCTCTTGTACTTGCTTCGTTGTCGGTGAGCTGTTGCTCGCTGTTAATACTCGGACAAAATTATTTCGCCGAAGGGTGTCGCGCTGGCCCAGAGTGTTGAGCCCCGTTCCATTAGTTTCGGATCGTCACAACACGCGCGCTGCGCAGCTCACGTGCTTTCCGAAATGGAGAGAGAGTCATGCCTTCTGCTTTGCATTCGGATGTAAACAAGAGAGGAAAATTTGCCCAGTCAATATGGCTGACTTCCGGCTTCATCGCGGCTTCACAACGAGTGACGTCAGGGTGTCTCCTACTTTTCCATCCTCCGTGGATGCCCTGGTCCTCTGGCTTAGAGTCACCAAATGCAGAAGCAGCTCGCAATCAGAGCGCGAGAGGCAGTGTACCAACTGAATACATTGGCGATCTTGGATGGATGGATGGATGGATGGATGGATGGATGGATGGATGGATGGATATGGCTGTACCATTTAGATCGGGCGGTGGCTAGCGCCACCAAGCCGTAATACTTAATGAGCCAAAAACTAGATTTATTTTTCCCCTTAAATAGTGAGGTTGAGGATTCGTACTTTTCAGTGAAGGGTTTAATTTTCACTCGTGCCTTGACTTTAGCCACCAATCAGATAACCTCCTTTTAGTTAATTCTACCCGTTTAAAGTCTCTTTTGCCCGCCCTGTCCCTAAACCCCAGTGGCAATTTCTTGCTTAAAAGTTCGATAGATCTCTAGTGCGGACTTCTTAATCATGCCCATTTTCCCCATATCAGTCTCAGCTTCCTTCACCTTCTTCTTAACTGATAATTATTTTTGGTTTGGCCTCCTGCTGTTTTCCAAGTATTTAACAGTCAATTTTCTGGTTCGCTTCCTCCATATTGTATCGACATTCTTCATGTACAAGTAGCTGAATACCTTCCTAGCCCAACGCTCCTCCCCGATTTCTCTCAATCGCTTTTCAAATTTTGTCTTGCAGCTAGCTTCCCTGCCGTCAAATGATGTCCATCCCTTATCACCTTGTACTCCCTAATTTGGTGTATTAACGAGAGCTCCTAAGGCAAGCCTACCTATACCACGTTGCTTAATTTCTAATCTTGCTTGAACTTCTGATCTCATGCACAAGACCGCATTGCCAAACGTCAGACCAGGAACCA